GAAAAATGTGGGACATGGCCACATAGGAAAAGCTGCAAACACTCATATTAATGTAAATTCACGCTTCCTAGTCATGGAGGGCGTTCAGGGGAAAAATGTAGATCAAACAAAAGCTGAAAACACTTAAATTCATGCTTCATAGTCGTGCCCAAAGTGGAGGGCATTAAAAAAAAGGAACACAAAATAATAGTAAACCCTTTGTTTTTGTAGAATTAAAGTGATCTTTCTCTTCTTTTTTGTGTGATAACTAGAGCAGTTTGATTAAGAATAATGTAATATTAACATTGAGTTCTTTTTTAGTTTAGACAGCTAGGTATATGAATGTATATAGAAAAGAATGCACTTATTAAAAATATTACATATTATAGACGATTAGATAAAAGATTATACATAATATACATTTATAAGAGCTTGTGTATAATAATAATAATAATAATAATAATAATAATAATAATAATAATTTCTTATACCCCGCCTTTTGCCTTGGCAATCAAGATATGTATAAGAATAGGTTTATCTTTTCTTTTTTCCTGTATAGGTATGAATATTTTTTTTAAAAGTAGCTTCAAATAAAAGCTAAAAACACTCATATCAATATAAATTCATGCTGCTTTGTCGTGTTCAGAGTGGAGGATGTTCAAGAAAAATGTAGGACCAAATAAAAGCTGAAAACAATCTTATCATTGTGAATTTATGCTGCTTTATCGTGCTCAGAGTGGAGGTTACATTCAAGAAAAATAGAGAACCAAATGAAAACTAAAAACTCATATAATTGTACATTTATGCTGCCTAGCTGTGCTCAGAGTGTAGGATGTTCAAGAAAAATGTAGGACATTACCAAATAAAAACTATAAACATTCATATAAATGTAAATTCATGCTTCTTAGTTGTGCTGGGAGTGTAGGACATTCAAGAAAAATAGAGGACCAAATAAAAGCTAAAAACTCATATAATTGTACATATACGCTGCTTAGTCGTGCTCAGTGTAGGATGTTCACAAAAAATGTAAGACATTACCAAAAAACTATAAGCACTTCTGTCGATGTAAATTCATGCTTAGTTGTGCTTAAAGTGGAGGACATCCGAGAAAATTGTAGGACATTACCAAATAAAAGTTAAAAAAACACTCACATAAATGTAAATTCATGCTTCTTTGTCATGCTCAGAATAGAGAACATTTTGAAATTCCTCCTGGACAAGGCTGAAATGCAGGGCTGGTCCTGGAAAAGGAGGACACCTGGCTTCAGGGCTGGCAGGTTGGCACTTTTACACCCACTCACTTGGGAAGGAACAGGGCAAATTGTCCCTACTGAGCTTTTCGTTTGTTGTGGCTGTGTACCTTCAAGCTGTTTCTGGCTTACGGCAACATTAAGGAGAAGCTACTATGGGGTTTTCTTGGCAAGTTTCTTCAGAGGGTTTGCCATTGCCATCTTTTGAGACTGACAGTGTGTGACTCAGCTTAGGTCACCTAGTGGGTTTATATGGCTGAGCCAGGATTCGAACCTTGGTAGTCACAGTCCAAGGCTCATGCCACTACACCACCCTGGCATCACTTTAACTGCCCTGGTTCAAGGCTATGGAATTCTGGGTATTGTTTTGTGAGCTATTTAGCCTTCTCTGTTAGACAGCTCTGGTGCCACAATAGACTACAATCCCCAGCATTCCATAGCATTGAGCCAGGGCAGTTAAAAGTGGTTTCAAACTGGGTTATTTCTGCAGTGCAGATACAGCTGAGGTCATCCTGTGAGTTTCCATGGCTGAGTGGGGAATCAAACCCTGATCTCCAGATTAGTCCTAGTCCAATGTTCAAACCACACCACACTGGCTCAAAGCACTCATCTTTTTTGCTTGCTTGCAATGGTCTAGTCAGGGCTCATAATGTTGGAGGACACTGATGTTTTAATAACCAGAGTCTATAATGCGATCTGCCCCCCCTTGGTGATAGGTTCTCCTTAGGGTTACTCTAAGTTGGAAATCACTTGAAGGTGCACAACACTCATGCCTGTTCTGACAAAGTGAAGAGACTTTTTAAAATAAAATCTTCAAGCATTCTAGGTATACACTTCACTTCCTGGAAATCTTTTTGAGGTCCTCCTAAGACACAGGCTACCCGTGATCATACCAAATGCATGTTTGTGTAACTAGTATTGTTGTTGTCCAAATTTCTTTAGGCAGCAGTTAAACCCACTTCTGAATTGGCGAAATCATGTTATGACCTGAAATAAGAACACATTCAAGTGCCCTCTCCAAAGATTTGAGATTTCCTGCCACTTTAGGTCTGGGTAAAGTCCAGCCAACACAATATATGCCTGTTTCTAGTGCGTTTATCTGTACACATGACAAAACTGAAAAATACTTTATTACATAACAAGAGGCATTTTGAATGTAATTATGGAAACCTATGTATTTACAGGTAACACCTTTCTTTAAATTGTTCAGATCTTGGGTTTTCTCACTATAAAAAAGCCTCACGGAGCAGCAAAAGAGAAAAATTGAAGGAACCACATTTTCTAACATGGAATGAAACAGAAGGGTGAACACAGGGTCAAGGCCCTGTTGTTCTCAGTCCTTAAAACCTAACTTATTTTTTTATTTGCATGCTACATTTCTCTCAGAAAGGGATCCAAAGTGGGTCTCAAATAAAAACACTATTAAAACCTTACAATAAGGAAGGTGGCAAGGAAAACTACTTCTCACCACCCCTATGCCCAGCCTCTTTCAACCATTTTACACTGGAGGGACCCATTAAATAATTTTCAGGCTTCAGGGAACCCCTGCAGAAAAATACTATCTACAGTTCAATGAATGTGTTTATTTTTCTTGCCCTTCACAATTTCTCACAAAACCCCTAGTGACCAGGGAACCCTGTTTGAGAAACCCTGATAGAACCATTTATAGCCATTTTATTGCAATTTCTGAATCAAAAGAGAGAACATGCTGTCCAGAGCAATTCAACCTAAGAAGAAAAAGACTGCATGGTAGATCAGCCTGCACTTACTGTGACCAGCCAAGTTTATGCCAAAAGCATAATTGCTTCTCCTTTCATTCTCATAAATTCATGCTGCAGGACTAGCATGCTTTTTGCACCTCTTTCTCTGGAACGAGGGCTATGAATGAAGAACACCACACCATTTTTCATTCTTGCTTTCTTTAGGACACTGGCAGACATCCTATGGTCCCAGAGCACCCTGCCGAGCATGATAGGGACAGTGCCTGTATGAACATTTATCCTACCCATAGAACAATTTGTTCTTCTGTCCCTAATCCCTCAAATATTGTGAATACTAGCTGCTGCTTTCTGCTGAATCTTGCATGCTGCTTCTGTCTTGACCTGGCTTTGAATATTTAATCTACTTTTTAAAAAACAAAATAAATAACATTTCTATTTAATTGAAGCTTTTTCAGTCTTGTGAAACTCTTTTGATACTCGGCAGAGTAAATTTCCTGAATATTCTTGAGTACTGTTAGTTTAATTTCTGTTAGTTTAATTTCAGAGTGTACTAAGATGCTGTTTAGTCCACACAAGAAACAAATATTTTCACGTCACAGAAAATATGTTTATTATGGAAATCTACAGAATTATTTTGTTAACAGCTGTAAATTATCCACAGAACACAGATGGTATCCTGATGACAACACCTACATTGGACCAAGTTCCATTCTTCTCAAGCCACAGATGTAGACAGCATGTCTATTCAAATAGAACATGCTCAAGTATGAAGCAGGAGGAGACAGACATTTACTTCAATTTTGGGAAGAGTTTATGAGCCACCTGAAAACCAAGAAATGATCACATTAAGCAAAAAGGTAAGCAGTATACATCATTAGACCCTTTGAAACCAACTGCCCCTTTGCACAATATTTTGGCTTCCTTGTACTCTAGAAAGCTGCTAATACAGGGTTGTAGTGTAAAAGCAGCGGATTGGCCCACAGAATTTCCTTCTTAAAACCTACACAAATGTATTTCTAAACCACCCACGAATATAAGATGTTTGGAAATCATACATTTTCTGTTACAAAACTGAAAGTTATTTTAAACCTATGGAATACATAAAGTGATATTTCAATTTTTTGTAACTGATGTAATGCATAGATTCAATAATTGTTCCTTTTTAAAGTGGTATCAATTCTTTGTAACTGATCTAATGCCTAGATTCAATAATTGCTCCTCATTTGATGTTAATGACAAGTTTCTGTGATTCGACAATGGAAAAGTAAGGTTCCCTTCTACAGCCACCAAGCCAACATTCACACCTGGAAATCATTCCAAAGCAAACTTACACAATGGTCTCTAGCATGCAAAAAGTCAAAAAGCTCCTCTGTACACAGTTCTTCTGTCTTGGACCTGGAGGACACTCGAGCATCACACTCCGCTAGACGTTCCCTGGCTTTCACACATTTTTCTGTCTGTTCACAGTGTTCCCTGATAGTAGTTAAAGGATCCTGGAAGAAAAGCAAGGTGTAAACATTCCAGATGGCTCACTGCTAAAAGAGTGGTCAAAACAAGTTGATAACAAACATATGCTTTCTTTAGCCCCCAAACTATAAGAACAAGTTTAAAAATCAAATCACATCTCAA